GTGTTATCAGATGTTTTTAGACTTCTAAGTTTCTTACTCCAAGTTGAATCCCCATAGTTTTTCAATTCAATTTTGAGTTCGTGGGAGTCTTCATTTAGTTCCTGCTTTGCTTCAGGGATTTTGGCAGTAGCATTTCTCCGATGCAATCTACGATTTTCCCTGATTAGTTGTTGAAGGTTAGCTGGCAATGAATTTATGGATCCTTTTATGATATTTTTGGTCATTGAATTAGCATCATATGCATTTTTAATGGCCATTGTATATGCTTATGTTGCCTCTTCTATGTCATCGTTTGTTCTTATAATATCCATCAATTTAATATTTGTTATGTTGGGTTCTTTCATGATGAATAGACATTTATCTTCAATAGATCTTTTAATAAGCTTCACAAATGACCGAGGACAGTGTAACAGAAACCAATACAAAAACTATAATATTAACTAATGACATCCCCTGTCATCTCCAAACAATACCTTAACAACCGGCGTAGGAACATGATATATACCTATCATAACAAATCCTGATAGAACAGCCCCCCTTTTATAATAAGAAAAAGACAAACAGTTCAAGTAACATAGTCCTTTATCTCTTTGTCTCTTATTGTGACGCTTTGTTCTACTAATTATAAAACTAGCACCTTCATCCTTATTTCCATCACTTGTTATATCATCTGATTGAACTTTGGATTCCGCAACACTTTCACTGAAACTATTATCTAATTGTACATCAGGTTGAAATTAAACATTTTGGTTTTGATTAACACAGTTTTCCAATCTAGCGTTAGTGGAATCAACTATATTGGAAAATGATGCTGTATTAGTGACTATATTAAATGTATGATTGCAAGGAAGAATAGTTTCATTAGGAATAGAGTTCTAATGATTTGCTAGTACTAAAAACCATCTATTTCTTCGAAAATTTCCTCTCTGAGTTTCGATAAGATAAGACTTCGGCTCCTTAAACTTTTGAATAATTTTTCCATATTATTATGTTTTGAGATCAGTCACCCATACATTCTCATTAACCTTTAAATCTGAGAGCTCTTTGGTACGATGAGTCCTATTATAATTCCGCCTCATGTTTTCTCTATATTTTTCCTCCCTTTGGAAAATTGGGCTTTCGCTTCAATACAACCATTAGACTGAGGATATTTAGGACTGCTTGTTATATGAACAAAATCAAAATTTTTAGCAAATTTTTCAAATTCAGTTTGGAACTGAGGTCCATCATCAGATCTCACTACATATTACTGGTATACCATACCTAGAAAACTGCTCTTGTTACTTAGTGATGATCACATTTTTAGTCATTGACTGAAGCTTAAAAATTTCAAAGAATCTAGAGAAATAATCAGTTACAATGAGGTACCACTTTCCATCATAATTAGATACGTCAAGTGCAATCTTTTGCCATGCACGATTCGGAAATTTATCTTTAAAGAAAGCTTGTTTTATATTAACTCTAAACTCAATGCAACGTGAACAATTACGGACTAAATTTTCTCTTTTATTAGATAATCCTGGCCACCAGACCGAGGACTTGGCACTTTACTATACCTTGGTGAATGAAACCTAAAGTTTTTGATTGGAGAGATTGAGGAGTAATCAAGGGTGAACCACGCAACAAATAACCATTACAATCTGAAATTTCATGTCTATACTGAAAATAAATAGAAGTTTCTGGATCTATTCTATTTTTCCGAGGCCAACCCAAATGAATATATTGCTTGAGCTTTATGCAAACAGAATCTTTATTTTGCTCAGATTTGATCTCTTCTAAAAAATAAGGTTTTATTTCAAAATTTGTAGCTTTTAAATTTACAAACATATCGGTTTCTGGAGTTAACCCATCATTTTCAGGAAATGGAGAGTTTTCTTCAAATTTTCTCGACAATGCATCTGCAAATACTAAATGTTTACCTGGAATATAATAAATCTCATAGTCATATCTTAAAAGTCTCAATCCAAATCTCTGAAGTCGCGGAGTGAATTCATCGATATTTTTAGTCTGTGAAACTTGAACTGATGGCTTATGATCCGTTTCAATGAACACTTTCAATCCATGAACGTATTCGGAAAATTTGTCACATGACCAGGTCAAAGCTAACGCTTCACGCTCGATTTGTGCGTAACGTTGCTCCGTTTTTGACAATAACCTGGATGAATAAGAAATTTCCTTTTACATCTTCTTGAATAAGACATGCACCGATACCAAATGAAGAAGCGTCAGCTGAAATTATAATTTTCTGGCTGGGATCAAAATATGCCAGACAAGGACTTTCTTGTAATAAATGTTTAATTTTTTTAAAAGCTCGTTTCTGAGCGTGGTTCCAAGTAAGTGGAACACTTTTCTTAGTTAGGGGTCCAAAACATCAGATCTATTCGGAAAGAATCGACATGAAAAATTTACCATACCCAAGAAACGTAGAAGTTCGTTTTTATCAGAGTGTTCCGGAAATTTGTCAATAGCTTTTATTCGCTTGGGGTCTACAGAAAATCCGTTACTAGATATGAAATGATCTAAAAATTCTAAAGACTCTGCACCGAAAAGACATTTTTCTCGATTCAAAGTTATACCTTCTTTATAAATTCGAGTTAAAACTTCATTCAGTACTTTATTGTGCTGTTAAATTATTGTCAGTGCAAAAATGAGAATATCATCATTATGTGAAATTACTTGATCCCTTTTTAAATCTTATAGAAAAATACTCGGGTGCACAAGTTATTCCGAATGGTAACCTTTTAAATTTAAAACGGCTAAATGGTGTTATGAAACAAGTTAAATTCTGACATTCTTTATCTAGTTTAATTTCATGGAAACCAGAAGTGGTGCCTATACGACTAAAATACTTAGATCCCTGTACTTGAGCCAGAATTCTCTCAATTTCACCAATAGAAAAAAGAGTGCGCTCTACGGCTTTTTTTAATTTGATGTAGTCAACACAAAGACGAATTTTATTATTATCTTTTCGAACAATAACAATGGGACTGATCCATGGAGTATAATATTCAACTGGTTCTATAATATCCAACTTCTGTAAGCGTTCAAGTTCATCTTAGAGGTTTAAGTAATGTTCAACACGCGGAACTGATTGTATAATTGACTGAACATTTTCATCAATCTTAATTTTGAATTCTGTTTCAAAAGATTTTCGGAAACCTTTGCTCAATTTGTTCCAATTTAAGAAAATCGACTTTTGAAGCAAATCAATCACCAAATTGCAAAATGTTTAAATCTATTATTGCAGATCGATCTAAGATTGGTTTACATAGTTCTTCAATGACATAGATGTCAGTGAAACATTTATTTTTAGAATTACTTAATGTAGCATGCAAAATCCCTAATGTATTCAGTCTCTTGCCTGTCACTATTCTGTTAGAGATGATATGTAAACCTTGAATAGTATTTTCATCTACTAAAGAAAGATACAGATAAACAAGTTATATCAGCACCAGTGTCTATAATAAATTGAATTTCTTTATTTAATTCAAAAATTTTTAGAAAAATTAACCCTAGAAAATGATTTGAAACAGTGCTATTATTCTGGGAACAATTTTTGCAACTTGGACTAATAATATGATCAATATCATCTATAAAGTCCAATTGTTTCGACAAACAGTCACCCAATGCCCTTGTTTATTACACGAACGACAGAAAGATTGCCTGGCAGGACAATTTCCCTGGGATGGTCCGCTAACCCACAAAATTGGTGTTTTCTTCTTCTACTCATCTTTTCTTCCCTTTTTATCGGAAAAACTGGAAGATCTGGCAACGTTTCGTGAAACGCTCCCTGGTACTGCCTGAACTGGACGTCTGAAATGAAAATTCAACTGTTTTAGCGATTGTTCGCCTGTTGCTCCTGCAACCATCGCAACCGCTCCACCTCGCAACTCCTGGCTTTGTTTTTCTTGGAGTTCGGCTTGTTTTGCCTTAATAATACAATCAGCTAATGGTAAATTTGCTTGAAATTGTAATTTTTCGCTGGTTCTACGATCTAACATACCCACAACAATACAATCACGTATTAATTCGTCCTTTAACAAGCCACATTGACAATGTTCTGCAAGGGAATGTAGACAAGTTATAAATAATTCTAACGACTCACCTGGGCCCGTATTCTCGTAACCCAAGGAACATCGTTTTCAAGAAAACGAATTGCTCTGTCTTAGTCGCCCATACAGTTATTTCCATAATACTGACAAAGACAAAAAGCAATCGTTCTCTTGAGAACGCTGTTCCACGGTTACGCGAATACGGGCCCTGGTTGCTGAACATGACTATTAAATTTATAACGTTAAAAAATTAGATTTCTCCGGAGTATATAATAATTTTCCAAGGCTTGCACTGTGGCTATGTAGGTTTTGGGTAAGGATACAAATTGTATTATAACTTCTTCGGCTTCTTCCCCCAAGAATATACATCAAATTATTTATCTTCTCTTCGTCTTGTTTTAAATTTTGTCCTGAGACTGACACGAATCGCTTAAATCGTTTTCTCCACTGGGGCCAGTCTTGGGGCATCGCAAAATCAAACTTCTGTGTTGAAGTTACTGGTACAAAAAGTGCTTGAAACATTGAAATCGACGTATTTTCTTTATTACACAAATTTTCGCAGTTCGATTGAGAAATCGTCGAGATAGATAGATAGGGTTTTTAATACGCACCACCACCCCTGCCACCATTTTATGTTGGGTTCTTTTACATGATGAATAGACATTTATCTTCAATAGATGTTTTAATAAGCTTCACAAATGACTGAGGACAGTGTGAGAGAAACCAATACAAAAACTATAATATTAACTAATGATATCCGCTATCATTTCCAAACAATACCCTAACAACCGGCGTAGGAACATGGCAGGGTTGATATATTACATCATAACAAGTCCTGCTAGAACAATATTAACCACCTGGAAGTGTCAGTTCCAAATACAACACATTCAATTTAAGACTTACCCTAGGCGCTCCTACGCAGATTTTTAATTTATATTTAAATTTTAGGTCTATGAAATTTTAAGATGAGCCCCAATGATATCAGCCTAAGCTTGACATTATTCCAAATGCTTGTGACCATCACCTTTGCTAGAGGTCCACATCATCCTAGAGGTGAACCATTAGTAAAAAGGCATACGCATTATACTCCAGGAAAAAATGCAGAAAAAATAACTCAAGACTTTGAATTATTACATGATAAAGAACACATAGAGGCAAGCAGTAAGTATTTATTGAACAAAATACTGGAATTCGTTTATTGTAGGAACATCTCAAGGAAGTGGCACCTAAAATAGATCTATCAAAGATGACAGATGCTGAAATAGAACTCTTTTATTTTTTACTCCATGACACTGATAAAAATTCTAAGCTCGATGGACTAGAGCTTTTAAATGCTATTCTTCATACCACACACGACAATAGTGGTCATCAGCATATTTACAATAGAACATTTGATGATGAAAATGGAAATGATATCGATAATCCAGAAATGAGTGAGGGTAGTTTTGAGCATTTTGTTGGTAAGCCTGTCTAAAGTTAGTGTTTGGAATCACTAACAAATTTTTATTTAGATTTGGTGGATCAAGTTCTGAAAGAAGACGACAAAAATCAAGATGGCTACCTTGATTATACTGAATATGTGGATGGAAAAAAGACGGCTGATCGATTAGCTGATAAACTACCTTCTGTTGAACTTACCTAGATTATAGATTCTAGAATCACGTTACATTACTGAGGATTTTCAAATTTGTCACAAGAGAAGATGTCTATAGAGAATACAAATTTTCTAGAATGTGTATTAGATATAGGTATAGGCATGATTTAGAGAAGTAAAACTTTTATACGATGTTTAGGTATAATAGGTTAATTATTTGTAATAAATTTAGTGAATAAATAAATTTGTTGGTTGTTGCTAATTGGACTTGGAGAATGTAAAAGCAAATGTCCTTTTGTGTATCAAATATTATGTAAAATTACTTAGATAATCCCTACCTCATTTACACATACAAATTGTAGTTACATAAATGAAATCATGATGAGACTAATTAAACGAACCAAGAAAGTAAAAGTATCTAATGTTAAAATTTGTTGCATTTTCACCATATTCGGTATAGTTTTCTTGAATCGCGAAGCGTTTCAAAAACAATGATCGTGCTATATTTACAGGAAAAGTTCTTGGAGACAATTGAAACGGCTATAAAAATGGTCTGTTTTATTATGATTCTTATTATTTTATTTCACGCTCAAATAAGAATAATGCAAAATTTAAAACAATGCTATGTTATATAAATGATAAATTTGTCGCATTTGGCGGCACTTGTTGAGTAAAACTTTGAGGTACAACATGGGGGCTAAATTAGCTTTTTTACTGGTTGGATTTTTGTGTGAGTTTTGTTATGGAGCTGTGAGTGGAAGTGGATATGACGCTAATAATAATATATCAAGGTATTTTTCTTTTTGCAATCACATTTTTACAAACCAACGTTTCTGGGATTATTTTCCAGGGGATTCGACGCTAAAAACGTGCTAAGTTCCATTGCTTCAAATTTAATGTCCAGAGGGTATGGTACCACTGGAGTAGGCTCCCAAGTAATTTCCTTGAACCTAACAAATCTTTTGATTTTAATTTTGTTGAAGGCCCTTATTTTTGCTGCTGCTTCTTTGCATAGTCACAAAAGTCATGGAGGAGGTGAGTTTTTTTTTCAGTACCTACTTACTTAGTTTAAAAATTGGGTTACTGCAGGACGAAAACATAAAAAATATCTAAATCACTATATCTCCAAAAACTAGAAAAAATACAATGCAATTCAGTATGAACTTCTTTAGGTGGGAGGAACTCGGAGTGACATCTTTCATGTCCGATCTTAGTGATTTGAAGCATTGACTTCAATTTTTTTCAATTAGGTATATTTTATTATACAACTTAAACATAATATGTATTGTATATTATTTATAAATGCTAAATACTCGTAATATCCCAACGACCAACTAAAAAGGTTCATTACCACGACTCCGTCTACAACCTCGTCGTGGCAATATTCACCCGTTACTGTAATGTAGCTCATACCGTACTAGTTGACAACTGTCAACTGACAACTAACGTCAATGACTATTACTATATCTCACCCTTCACGGATTTATTAAAATACATCAAGACTTAACACTAACAATGCGGATATTATCAATATCAATACGTAACATAATCAGTAAACTTAGGAGATTTCTTAATACTGCGATTGGACCTTGTAAATATCTCTGATTTTCACCTGGTGAGACACTGTTAAAGTTCTTTGCCCTAGTATTCTTCAGGGCTCAGCAACAATACCATCATTATCAGTTCCAAAATTGAAAGATTCAGGTTTAGATAGTGTATTCTGCTGTAGACCAGAATCACCGGGATAACTTTGACTACTTGATAAATCATGATGAATTTATGAGCTGCGTAAATGATTACTATTTCGCCTTAAAACCTTAGAACCAATATTAATCAAGTGAGACCTTGGGGCTTCATGCTTGGATAGTATAGTTGCAGGACGCCACTGATTTACATCCTTATACACAACATTTTCACCTTCCTCAAAGTCTAGCTTTTCCTTAGAATGTTTATCATAATACTTTTTATATAATTTATTTACATTTTCTAATTCATTCCTGATTTCTTCAATTTTAAAACTGGGTCCTTCTAGCAAAGGTAACTTAGATTTTAATTTCCTAGAAAACAAGAGTTCAGCAAGAGACCTCTTAAGATTTGTAATAGGCGTGTTACAATACTCTATCGAAGCAACCCATAAACCATTTGATTTCCGCATAATGTTTTAAGCTGTTTGCACAAATCTGTCTGCAAGTCCATTCGATCGCGGATATCTAGGGCTACTTGTCTGAAATTTAAAGTCAAATATTTGTTCCAAAACCAAAACACTAATAACAAGGCAAGACTGTTTTTCTTCCAAAAACATAATTTCTAACCACTTAGTTCTCTACAATTACTAAATATGATTTTCCTTCATAGTCCATGATGTCACAACCTAACTTTTGGAAGGGTAACTCAAGAATATCATGTGATATGAGTGGTTCTTTTACATTAGCATATCTATATCTTTCACATAACTGACACTGCCGAATTTCGTTATCAATATCTATGCTCATTCCAGGCCAGAATAATACACTCCGTGCCCTATCTCTTGTACGAATGCCAAAATGAACTTCATGTAGTATTTTTAGCATATTTTTACGCAATAATTAAGGAACCACCACCCTGTCATTATGAAAAATGAGATTGTTATTTTGATACAAATCAGCTCTTAAGTTGTAAAAAATTCCCAGTTCTCCTTCATATTTTTTATTTTGCCAACCATTCAAACAACATTCAATAACTTCACTCAATACTTTATCTTTTGTGGATTTTTTTCTATACTGTTGTCGGTTTTTAGAAGGACCAATAATTTTTATTTGTCACTCATTTGTAAAACGTCACTTATCAAGTCAAAACATAACCAGTGAAAATTGATTTTTACAAGCTACTGGCTCAAATGACTTGTAAAATTGACAGCTAAACTGTAAAAACTTTTTACAAGTCAGTAGAATTATTTATTTTTGAAAAATCGGTTTTATCACAAGAATAATTGCTTGTAGGTACCTTCTGGGAGACTTTTCTGGTGATAAACTGTTGGCTACGACTGCAGCTTCATTAATAATATCTTGTAATAAATTCATTTCTGGAAAAAAATTGCAAAATGGAAATCTGTCAAAAAACCTATTTATAACTAGAAACAACGTCTTAACAACGTATCATTCTCATAGTTATACCAACTACCAAAACTTCTGTGAGAAAAAATCAAGGAAAAACATATAAATTTCAAATTTTTGTTATGTATTGATTTTTTATTTGTCCCTATATCTTTTACAAATGAGTAACAAATAAATTATTGTACATTATACGCCAGGTAGCAGTTTTTACTGGCTCTTGAAGGTGACAAGCTCGCCTGGCGGCTCGCTAGTCATTTCCTTCAATCGCCAGTAGAAACTGTTTTACCTGGCTAATAATGTAAAATACTATAACAGGGCGGCCATAATAGTTATTTATGTATCAAGGGAATTGTGAGGGTGTTAATACCCCAGAGCAAGGTTTGTGTCCCGAGGGCCTCTGACCCGAGGGACACCAATTGCCCGTGGGTATTAACACCTGATAATTCCCGTGGTACTTAGATAATTTTATATCCTACTGAATTAACTGTATTCTGTCTATTTTTATAAAGGAATAAACCATAAACCAAAATTTCTATTTTTACCTATTCAAGGTAAAAGTGGGGGTTATGGAAATCCTTAACTCCCTTGGGAGTTATGATATCCTTAACTCAAGCGCGGGAGTTATGAAATCTCTAACTCCCTTGGGAGTTAAGACCCTGTTTATGACTATCGTAACCAGAGTATTATATGGTTATAATAGTACAGTAGGAATAGTAGGATATAAATAAATTAACTAAATTTTTGACAAGCATACAATTCCAAGCAGTTATTTTTCATTAATTGCATAGTTTCTTTCAATTTCTGTCAAGCATCTCGATGCAAATGCAACTGGTTTACCATGTTGTACATCCAAGTCCATGTTGTGATGCATCTGTTTGTATAACAATATCTTTTTTCTAGTCAAAGTTTTTTAATGTAATATTTTTATTCAATACAATACAAGTTTGATATCTTCAAGAGCTCTATTATGCACCATCGTCACCAAAAGTAACTGGGACAGCATCATATTAGCTCTTGAACTATTATATAAATTTCTGTGTCAAATATTTGTCAAACTATGAATTCAATGCATTGAAATGAATGACGGTTGAATTAGTCCAGGAGATTAATATGAATTATTTTTGTCCCAGATACTTTTGGTGACGATGGTACGTCTAATCACTGAAACACAAATTCTTTTTCAAGTAGCTGACAAAGTGTATTTACAATTTCCCCTAAATTCGGAATAAACTTTCTAACATAATTCACCAAGCCAAGTAGTCTCTGCAATTCTTACTTATTGGATGGTGCTTTAAGATCATTGATGGCCTTAATTTTATCATTATCTACTTTCATACCCTCACTATTGAAAATATGCTCCATGTATTCCACTTCACACTTTCTCAGTTGCAACTTATTTTTGTTAAATCTCACACCCTTCTCTCTTGCTCTCTGGAACACCATTCTCAATGTCTTATCATGTTCCTCCATACTGTTACAAGCTCCAATAAATCATCAAAATATATGATTACATTTTCAATATCTCCAAAATTTTTACAATTTATTCCCTGAAAATACTCCGGTGCCAAATTTAAACCAAACGGTAGTCTTTTTAACAACCAAATGGAGTAGAAAATGATGTTAAAGAACTAGACTCCCTATTAAGCTTCACTTGATGAATTCCATCTTTAAAATCAAGTAGGTACAGAGAAACATTTTTTCCCTGACAACTTAGCACTAATATCTCCTAAGTATTGTCTTTTCATACACTAGTTCAAATCCTGTCGATCCAAACATAGTCTTAAGGATTTATCTGGTTTTTCAACTATAATCAGGTTATTAACCCACTCATTAGCATTATCTAATTTCTTTATAACTTCCTGCTGCTCTAATTTATCTAAGTTTTGTTTTAATCTATCTTTAATAGCTAAAGGAACCCGACGAGTAGGTCTAGCCACTGGTATACTGTTTTCTTTCAGTTCAATTTTACAAGTATCTGAAAAAGTGTCTAAGCCCTCAAAAACATAATTATATTCACTACTTAATTTCTTATTTATATTTGAATTCAAATCAATATTCTGACTAACTTCTTGCAGACTTCCAGTGTTTTTAATTATTTTTACCCTATAACAAAATGGTTATCCTAATATTGGTTTAACATTCAAATCAACAATCACTGCAAGTTGATTTT